GAGCTCGCACAGCTGAAGAATTATTGTTGACCCCCTCCGGCTATATATATATATGTATATATACATATGTATATATATATATATGTTCTTCAATTGGCGTGCCCCTCCTGGGGCTCGCACTTGTTTTTTATCAGGGAAGGTATTCCTCCTCAAGCTGCGCTGTTGGCCCCCGAACCACAAAAGCAACGGCTCCCGCCTGATCATTCCTCGCAGTTTACTGCGACATCGCGCTCTCGCTAGGGACTTCCTTGCAATGTTCCTGCTCAAGCGGTGCCCCTGGCTCCCGATTTACAGCAACAACGGCTCCCGCCGGATACTTCCTTGCAATCTATTGAAGAATTGCGCGCTCGCTACGGCTTTCCTGGCAATTTACAAGAATCGCGCTCTCGCCGGATACTTCCTCGCAATTTATTCAGGCGTCGCGCTTTCGAGACTCAGGAATCGCACTGTCGCTTGGGACTTCCTCGCAATTGATTCAGGCGCCGCGCCCTCGACACTCAGGAATCACGCTCTCACTTTGGATTGCCTCGCGAGATGTATTTTGGAATCGCGCTGTCGCTCAAGGCGTCTCGCGATTCATGCAGTACGCACGCTTCAGCAACCCGCCTGCTCGGCCTGGCCGCCCGGGCCCGCCTGCCAGGGTCTACCCGCCCGATGCTCGTCTGGTTCTGCCACGTGTTTTCTGCTCCTAGCCCCCCTCCTGCTATTCTCTCTCGTGCTCCATCCTCCTCTCTCCCCCTTGTCCCTTCCTTCCATCCGTCTTTTCCTCCATGGCTTTAGGTGCTGCGTCAAATGCACGTTGCAGGTAAGGAAGGTATACACCCAAGGGGATACAATCGAAGACGAAGAGGGTGGGTATCGAGGGTCTGGGACTTGCGTGTTCAATGGCACGCGAGCAGATAGGAGCGAATTATTGAAATTATTTTCGTTGTTGTTGCTGTGGTTGTTGTGGTGGTGGTGGTTGCTGTTGCTGTTGCTGTTGCTGTTGCTGTTGCTGTTGCTGTTGTTGTTGTTGTTGTTGTTGTTGTTGTTGTTGTTGTTGTTCTGGTTGTTGTTGTTTTATTGTTGACCCCCCCCTCTAGGGCACATGTTGTTTCAAGTCGAGTGCCCTTCCCGGGGCCCGCACCCTGTGTCTCACAGGTGGAAGCGGGGGGTCACCAAACTGGGCCCCTGGCCCCCGAGCTACAACAGCAGCGGTTGTCGCCTGATGCTTCCTTACAGTGTATTATCACACGGCGCTCTCGCGCGGGACTTCCTCACACGCTATGCAGATATCTCGCTCTCGCGTGGGACACCTTCGCAATGTATTCCGCCGCCGCGCCCTCGACACTCAAGACTTCGTGTTCGCTGTTGATTTCCTCGCGATGTATTCTGGAATCGCGCCGTCGCTCGAGACCTCCTTGCGATTCATGCTGGACGCACGCTTCAGCAACCCGCCTGCTCGACCTGGCCGCCCAGGCCCGCCTTACCGACCCGCTTGTTAGGGTCTGTCCGCCCGATTTGCCCGTCTGGTTTTGCCACGTTGTTTTCGGCTCCTAGCCCCCCTCCTGCTAATCCCGTGCTCCATCCTTTTCCCTCTCCCTTCTATCCGTCCTCCTTTCCCCTGTCTCAGGGGCTGCTCCAACCAGTTACGCGCCGCAGGCATGGAAGATATACCTTCAGGGGAACGATCGAAGAGGAAGAGGGTGGGTATCGATGGTTTGGGATATACGTGTTGAATGGCACGCGAGCTGGTAAGAGCGAGTAGTCATACGATTAGTGTTGCTGTTGCTGTTGCTGTTGCTGTTGCTGCTGTTGCTGCTGTTGTGGGTCACTGATGCTGTTGCTGTTGCTGTTTCTGGTGTTGTTACGGTTGTTGGTGTTGATGTTGTTGTTGTTGAATGTCTTGTGGGTAAATTCTTTTTTCAAATGCGTAATTGTTGTTGATCCCCCTCCCTGGTAGCCATTTGGTGTATTTCTCCCGGGGCTCGGACCCTGTTTCTGACAAAGGAAATCGAAGTGTCACCAAACTGCGCCCCTGGCCCCAGGTTTACAACAACAGCGGCTCCCGCCTAAGACTTCCTCACAATGTATTCCCAAATCGAGCTCTTGCGCGGGACTTCCTCACAATTTATTCAGACGCCGCGCCCTCGACACTCAAGAATCACGCTCTCGCTGTTGATTTCCTAACGATTTATTGTGGAATCGCGCCGTCGCTCGAGACCTCCTTGCGATTCAGGTAGGACGCACGCTTCAGCAACCCGCCTGCTCGACCTGGCCGCCGGGGCCCGCGCTCCCAATCCGCTTGCTAGGGTCTATCCGCCCGATTTGCCCGTCTGGTTCTGCCATAGTCTTGCTCTGCTCCTAGCCCCTCTCCTGCTACCTTCTCTCGTGCTCCATCCTCCTTCCTCCCCCTTGTCCGTCGCTTCCATTCGTCTTCTCTCTCAGGTCTGAAAGATGCACCCCCAAGGGGGCACGTAAGTAAGGAAAACCCCCAAGGGGATACGTTGCACGTCGCACGAGGACACGTAAGGAGGAATACACCCCCAAGGGGGTAAATGCACGTAGCAGGTAAGGAAGATATACCCCCAAAGGGGCGCGATCGAAGACGAAGAGGGCGGGTCTTGAGGGTTCGGGACATGCGTGCGGAGTGGCAGGCGAGCAGAGCGAAGGGTCTGAACATGACGGTGTGCTGCTGATGCTGATCATGATGGTGTTCATGATGTTGATGCTGCTGTTGTTGTGGTTGTAGTTGTGTGGTCGTGGTTGTGGTCATTGTTGTTGGTGGTGTTGTTGCTGCTGTTGGTTGTTGTTGTGTGTCTTCTTGTGTGTGCGCGTGTGTGTGTGTGTGTGTTAGTGTGTTTGTGTATGGATGTGTGTGTGTGTGGGTGCGTGCTCTGCTTTGGTTGCAGCTGTTTTGTTTGTAATGCGCGTGGACATGCGTGCATGTGTTTGTGCCATGATATAATAAATACGGCGTCCGGGGCCCCGCGGCCCAGGGTCGCACACTTCTCCCAAATTCCCCCCCCCCCCCCCGAAACCGAATTAGCCCCCTGGGCTGCGGGGGCCTTTTGTGGCATCCAGGGGCCCGTCCCGCTTCCCCGGGGCGTCCACCTAGGCTTTGGAGACGGCAAGAAGCCGCCAAGACGGCCCGAGAGTGCTCGAAGCCGCCCAAGATGGCCCCATGATCGGCCCAAGAGGCCCCCAAGATGTCCCAAGGTCGCTCCGCGAGGACCTCCAAGAGAGCCCCAAGACGCCCAAATCATTGATTTTCATTGTGTGTTTCCAATCGTTGTTGCTTCTCACGTTTTCGAGCGGCCGACACTCCAAGACTGTCCAATAAGCCTCCAACGTCGCCCCAAGAGGCCCCCAAGAGGCCCCCAAGAGGCCCCCAAGAGGCCCCCAAGAGGCCCCCAAGACAGCCCAAGAGGGCCGCATGATCGGCCCAAGAGGCCCCCAAGACGGCCCAAGAGGGCCTGAAGAGGGCCTGAAGACGGCTCCAAGATGGGCCCAAGAGAGGGAACGCGAACCGACCTTTCGAGTTTCCCGCGCCCAGAGACCCCCAGGAGACCCCAAGAGGCCCCCTAAGTGGCTCCAAGAGGCTCAAAGAGGCCCCAAAGATGCTTAAGAGAGGTCCGACAAGCTCCACAACGCCCCCGTGGAGGCTTCAAACCTGCTTCCAAAAGGCCCCCCGAGAGAACATCCGAGAAGCCTCTAACACACAACCCAGACACGGTTGCGGGATGGGCCCAGAATTGCAACCTCTGGTTCGCATGGGGGGCTGGGGGGGCCTTGAGGGCTCCAAGAGGGTTCAGAAGGGGCCCCGGACCCCTCCAGAGGCTCCCAAGCTGGCCCAATATATTTCCAGGAGGCTCCAGAGAGCCCCCCAAATGCTCGAACAGAGGCGCCCTCTGCCCCAAGAGGCCCCCAGGAGACCCCAAGAAACTCCCAGGAGGCCTCCACGACGCCCCAAAAAGCCACCAAAAAGGTTCCAGAAAGACCCGAGAAGCTCCCGAGAAACCCCCACCGAGCTCGCAGGAGGCCTCTACACAGACCCTCAGAAGCCCGCCAAAATCCCTTCGTCCTCCATGCTCCAGAATAGCCCTTCGGAACACGTGGCCCTCGCTGCACCCCCCGACCCGCCCACCCAATGTCGATGCCCGAGGACGCCCACATGACGCCCGCGAGACGCTCCGGAAACGCCTCTCCCGCACACGTGGATCAGGTGACAATGATGCTGATCGTCGGTGGTCCGTCGTCGTCGTCGTCGGTCGTCGCTGGTACGCTTCAGGCCAAACCCTTCCTTGAACTTCGCAGTATCCGCACGAACATCACGCATGGGTGAAAGGGAGGAAGCCAGAAGACCACATGGCAAGGTCCCATGGAATTTGACACCGTTTTCGGAGTCGACTAGAACCTAAGCGCGCGCGAAGCGCGCGCGTGGTTCTAGTCGTATATGTGTGTGTGTGTGTTTTGTTGATGTGTGTGTGTATTTTCGTGTGTGTGTGTGTGTGTGTTTGTGTGTGTGCACATGTTTGTTTTGGTGTGTGTGTGTGTTTTCTGGCAGGGCTCGTCGTCCCTGTCGGGGAGCAAGCGGCTCGCAGCCTGACAGGCGCTCCCAGTTACGTTCCCCTGCCTACTCGGACCGCCCCTCTGTGGGCAGCGGACCTCCTCCCGACCCCTTCGTCCCCCCTCCTCGCCCTCCCCGTTTCTATCCGAACATCAGGGCGCCGTCGAGGGCGCGAAATTCTTCGCGCTTCGCGGTTCGGCTCCGATTCCTCCTCATCCTTCTCTTCTCCCCTGGGAGGCGGCGCGAGAGCGCGAAGTTATTCGCACGTCGCGCTTCGCGCAGCGCGAAGCGCGAAGTTGGGAGCCCTTGGAATATCCTATCGCGGATCCTCCTCCCCTTCCCCCCCTGGCCTCCCACCGCTTCCCTTCGACGAGGACGGGGGCGAGGATGTGCAGCAGGTTCCTGCCTTCTCCCGCCCCCCCTCCCCCGCTTATCCAATGCCGCCAAGGAGGACGAGGGCGCCCCCGGCAACCCCGGCGAGGCGAAGGGCAGCGCGATGGAGGAGATGATGCTGAGGCCACCTCGCGCCGCCAGGGGGGGGGGCACGAGGGACGGCGCCGTGGCACGGCGGATTCCCGAGCACCCCGTCGCCCTCAAAGCTCCCCGCCCCCGCCGACGCGAGGCGGTGGCGGCCTGCAGGGGAGGCACTTGAGGAGGCCTGGTCCGCTACGCTCCAGGGGGGGGGGAAACAGGAGGCGATGGAAGCGTAAGAGGAGGAGGAGGAGGAGGAGGAGGAGGAGGAGGAGGAGGAGGAGGAGAAGACGAGGACGAGGACGAGGACGAGGGACGAGGACGAGGAGGAGGACGAGGAAGAGGAGGAGGAGGAGGAGGAGGAGGAGGAGGAGGAGGAGGAGGTGGAGGAGGAGGAGGAGGAGGAGGAGGAGGAGAGGGAAGGAGAGGGAAGGAGTGGGAGGGTGGAAGGGAGGGAGCGAGGGAAGGAGGGGAAGGGATGGATGGAGGGAAGGAGGGAGGGAGGGAGGGAGGGAGGGAGGAGGAGGAGGAGGAGGAGGAGGGTTCACCGCGCCGTATCGGGAAGGCGGAGTCTCTCCGCGCTCGCCCCTGCACGAGCCTTGGGCCGGGCTTCGTATCTTGTGCAGTATGTTTTGTTATATCGTTGGCTCACGTTGTTGTTTACCCGTAGTGCTCCGTAATGCTCCTATGTGAAGAATCTCGAGGCTCAGGAGCAGGAAGTGACGGACAAGCAGGAGGCCGAGCAGCAGGAATAGCAGATTGATGAGGAAGGGGGGTGATATCGGCAGCAGCAGGAGCACGCGCATGAGCAGAACGAGCAAGATGGACATGGGAATGCAGCGGAGGGGAAACGACGGGGGCGGCAACGACGAAGAAGGAATCGGATCCACACATGTGTCCCGTATGAAGGGGGAGCGACTTTGAAGACCGACGAGAGTGACACGTCGATCCTGAAATGTTGCAGCGGATCGTCAGCTCTGAAGGACCGACGGCGTTACGATCGAGCAAACACACATTGTCTAATGATGTGTGAAAGTCTGTATGAGAGCTCGATATATGCATATATATATATATATACGTTTATCGAAAAACTATGCGAGAGAGGCGGCATCATCGCTGTGCATGGTGAGGGGGGGGGGAGAGAGAGAGAGAGAGAGAGAGAGAGAGAGAGAGAGAAAGAAAGAGAGAGAGAGAGAGAGAGAGAGAGCGAGAGAGAGAGAAAGAGAGAGAGAGAGAGAGATAGAGAGACAGAGAGAGAGAGAGAGAGAGTGCGAGGGAGGGAGGGAAAGAGAGAGAGAGAGAGTGAGGTCTTTCGTTATCACCTGAAGTACTCGTAGAGATGAGCAGCGGGAGTGGGAAGCGAATGGGGATGGACTTGAGGAGCGGATGGAGGAAAAGGGGCCAGGACAAGGAGAGGAGGGGGAGGGGGATGAGGGTGATGGCGATGAGGAGGAGGAAGATGGAGTGGCTGAGGAGGTGGTGGAGGAGATGGAGGAGGACAGGGACGAGGAGGTGGAGTAGGAGGGGGAAGAGGACGAGGACGAGGACAAGGACGGAGGAGGAGGAGGAGGAGAAGGAGGAGGAGGAGGAGGAGGAGGAGGAGGAAGAGGAGGAGTAAGAGTAAAGGGAGGGGGACGAGGAAGAGCAGGATGAGGAGGAAGAGGAGGATGGGTATGAGGGGTCCCGTGCCTGCTCGCGCCGCCAGGGTTCAGGCCTTCGTGAAGGCCAAGGAGTCCGAGAAGGCCGACGGCGAGGCGAAGCACCAGGAATAGAGAGGAGGAAGGGGGAGGAGGGAGGGGGGGGGGAGTAGAAGCGGGGAGGAGGGAGGGCGTTTTGTTTCGTCAGAATGAGGGCGTTGGAGGAAGAGGAGGGGGAGGCTGAGGAGGATGACAACATCAACATCAGCATCAACAACAACATCAACAGCATCAACAACACCACCTCCAACAACAACCACAATCAGTTTGAGACTGTTCGCTTTCATCTGATCGCATGCCATTCAACACGTATATCCCCAACCCCCAGTGCTCGCTCTCTTCATCTTCGATCTTACTCTCTTGGGCGTATGTCTTCCGTACCTGCCACGTGCATTTCGTGCAGCCCGTAAAACAGGGGAAGAGAGGACGGATCGAAGGGGGAGGAAGAAGGATGAAGCACGAGAGAAATTAGCAGGAGGGGGGTTAGGAGCAGAAGCCATGTGGTAGAACCAGACCGGCAGATCGGGTGGCCAGACCCTAGCGGGCGGGTCGGGAAGGCGGGCCTAGGCGGCCAGGTCGAGCAGGCGGGTTGCTGAAGCGTGAGTCCTGCATGAGTCGCGAGGAAGTTTGGAGCGATAGCGCGGTTCCCACGGCAGTGACAAAAGCCAAAGCGACAGCGTGATTCTTGAGTGTCGAGGGCGCGGCGTTGAAATATATTTTTTGGAAGTCCCAGGCGAGAGCACGACTCCTGGACACAAAGTGAGGAAGTCCCGGGCGAGAGCGCGATTTCGGAAGAACTTGTGAGGAAGCCGTTGTTGCTGCAGCCAGTGGGCCAGGAGCACATTTACAGACAGAGTGCGAGCCCCGAGGGGGGCACTTCAACCGAAGAATGCAGTGTGCACCTGTGGGCGGGATCAACAACACTTATTCTTCAAGAGTGAGAATTCAACAACAGCAACGACAAACTCCTCACGGGGCAAGTCTTCCAAGGTTCTGCGACCTGGCCCTTGGATCGACCGGGCAGCCGAGAGTCTGGGCATCTAGCCCGCCCAACTGGTCGCATGTGCGTCTGAGCCTAAACCATTCAGCCAATGCCCCGGAGGAGGAGGAAGACGATGCTGATGATGATGATGGTGATGATGATGATGGTGATGATGATAGTGATGATGATGATGATGATGATGATGTTGGTGATGGTGATGGTAACGGTGATGGTGATGGTGATGGTGACGATGATGATGATGATGTTGATGATGATGATGATGGTACTGCTGATGATGATGATGATGATGCTGATGATGATGCTGATTATGATGATGATGATGATGATGCTGATGCTGATTATGATGATGACGGTTATGATGATGATGACGATGATGATGTTGTTGTTGCTGATGATGATTATTATTATGATGATGACGACGATTATGATGATGATGATGATGATCATGATGATGATGATGACGATGATGATGATGATGTTGTTGCTGCTGCTGCTGATGATGATGATGATGATGATGATGATGATGATGATGGTGGTGGTGGTGGTGATGATGATGATGATGCTGCTGAGGATGATGATGATGATGATGATGATGATGATGATGATGATGATGATGATGATGATGATGATGCTGATGATGATGATGATGATGATGATGATGATGATGATGATGATGATGATGGATGATGAGGAGGAGGAGGAGGAGGAGGAGGAGGAGGAGGAGGGATTAGGGGATCCCACGCTGCAGAGGCGTATTAGAGGAGGAGGAGGAGGAAGAGGAGGAGGAGGAGGAGGAGCTGACGAGGAGGCGGAGGAGGAGAAGGAGGAGGAGGAGAAGGAGGAGGAGGGGGAGCTGAGGAGGAGCTGAGGAGGAGGAGGAGGAGGAGCACGCTGAGGAGCCCGATCGCTCCCCTCCTCCTCCCCCGTCCCCTCCCGCGCTGGTGCCTTGCGTGGTGGCGTGGCCTTTTTCCTCTCGACGGGGAGGCCAGGGCCGCCTACCGATCCGCTTCGATGCGCGCTTCGATTCGCCCGCTGGGGCCTCCTCCTCCTCCTCCTCCACCACCTCTTCCTCCTTTTTCTCCTCCTCCACCTCTTCCTCCTTTTTCTCCGCCTCCTCCTCCTCCTTGTTTCGTTCCCCCTCCTCCTCTTCCTCCTCCTCCCCGGCATCGGCCGAGGCCAGGCGCGGCGACACGATCTCGGCCCGCTCCAGGGCGAGCCGTCCGCCTCCGATCCGCGGGCCGCACTTCGCGACTCGATCCAGCTCAAGCCTGGAATATTGGGACTGCTGTCCACCACCACCACCATAAGTTGGAGGGGGAGGGGGTCTTCCTCCTCCTCCTGTTCTCCGTCCTTTTCCTCCACTCCTTCGCCTTATAGATAGCTCCTCCCTGTCGTACCCCGAGGCCAGTTTTCAGGGCGGGCCTGGGGTTTTGCTTGGGACTTCCTCACCATTTATGATTCTGAGGCCCAAGAAGTGACAACAGTTTCACATATGGAGGACGGGTGTTTTTTAACACGTGGCTCTCGCATTAGCACCGCGCACAGTTGTTGAAAATAATTGCAAGAGTTTCACGGATTGAGGGCGGGTGGTTTTCAAAATGTGGCTCTCCCCTTTGCGCCGCGCACATTCGTCTTCACAAATAGCAAGAGTTTCACGGACCGGGTGCGGGTGGTTTTCAAAATGTGGCTCTCGCCTTAGCGCCGCGCACATTCGTGTTGACACTTTGCAAGAGTTTCACGGATTGAGGCGGGTGGTTTTCAAAATGTGGCTCTCGCTGTAGCGCCGCCCACATGTGTTTCAAACATTTGCAGGAGTTCCACGGACCGGGGGCGGGTGGTTTTCAAAATGCGGCTCTCGCCTTGGCGCCGCGCACATTCCGTGTTAACACATTGCAGGAGTTTCACGGATTGAGGGCGGGTGGTTTTCAAAATGTCGTTCTCGCTGTAGCGCCGCCCACATTCGTTTCAACATGTGCAAGAGTTCCACGGACCGGGGGCGGGTGGTTTTCAAAATGTGGCTCTTGCCTTAGCGCCGCGCACATTCGTGTTAACACATTTGCAAGAGTTTCGCGGATTGAGGGCGGGTGGTTTTCAAAATGTGGTTCTCGCTGTAGCGCCGCCCACATGTGTTTCAAACATTTGCAAGAGTTTCACGGATTCCCATGATCAACGCACCAGAAACGGTTTTTCTGTAAGGATTCAGAACAATGCGGGCGCAACAGTTATGTTGATGTTCTGTGTTGAAATTCCAAGACTGACGTTCTGGAACGATTCTGGATCGTCAAGACGCAGCAGTCAGGTTGATACGTGGCGTTGGAATCCCGAGAATGTTTTGGCACGCTTCAGGACCGTCAAACTCTTGTCTTCCAACGGGGCAGTTCCCTCAATGGAACTGACCCGTTGTAGGGGCCTATGAAGAGGGAGCTTGGAGGAAGGGTTCATTCCAACATCGTTGATGACTGGTGGGTTTCCACTGGTCCTCCTCCTCCTCCTCCTCCTCCTCCTCCCCCTCCTCCTCCCCCTCCCCCTCCAACTTATGGTGGTGGTGGAACACAAGCCCATCATGGAAGCTGGCAGCTTTCATGCTCGGGCAGTCTGGGCCACCCAGGCGGGGTCGGAGTAATTTGACCGGGTCGGAGGCTCGCGCCGCATCGCAGATGCCTCGGCGATGCGACTCGCTGTGGAGCCCGATGGCCTCCACGCTCGCTTCCCCGATGCATCGCCAACGCCTCGCCGATGCATCTGCGATGCATCGTCGATGCGGCGCAATCCTCCGACCCCATCTGCTCGGGCCCCCTTGGGGAGGCAGCTAAGTTTTTGATGTTCCAACCTAACTCAGCGTTGATCACCACGAAAGAATTTCGAGCGCCAAACAACACCAAAGCAGGACGGTTTTCATGTGTCGGGCCCTGGGAGGCGACGCTCGTTCGACGCTTCGCCAACGTGTCCGGAAAAAACACTGGTTCGATGCTACTTCTGGGCGCCAGCAGATCTGCTTTTGGGATTTCGTCGTCCTTACGTACGATGGGAGCCACATACACGCCTGTCGTTGAAAGTAGGTATTCTTGGACTCCCAGGTCCCAATCTCTTTTCTAGCGCCTTCCTACTTCAAGAATCGGCATGGTCTTGGTGTGAGTGTTTATTCGCTAGGAGGGCCTGGAGCCGAACTACTTTCTCCGCCTTCCTGCTTCATGTTTTCACCTACTTCCGACCGGCGTGTAATTCTAAGTGGCCCCCCCGAGAGCGCCCGCCGGCCAGGGCGCCGGCGCCGGCGGCGCCGCGGCCGCGGAGGAGCCCGCGGCCGCGGAAGAGGCCGCGGGCGCGGCCGCGGACGGTGCCTTCGGCCCCCCCCCGCGGGCAGAGGGGCCGGGCAGGGCGGGGGCTGCTCCACACGGCTGCCCACCAGGGCCTGCCTCGATGCGATCGATGCGATGCGCAGATAGGGGCCACATGCGAACCCTACCCCTACCCGCCACGATTTCTGGGGGGGAGGGTTCGCATGTGGCCCCCTAGCAGAGGAGGAAGAGGTACAGTGGGGGCGCGCATCAAGAAGCCATGTGCTTTTTTTGTCGGGGCATCCTGGGCTTCTTCGCTCCGCCGTGCTGCGCGGTGGCTTCCCGCAGCCGTTGAAGGAGCTGCTGCGTTCAGGGTGCTCGAGGCTGCCCTTCACTTGCACCTCGCGCGCGGGTTTTCAGGGTTGGGTTTCTTGCGGGGGTTCTTGCGGCCGCGCCTGCATTGTACCCGTACCGCTATACCCTTCGCCCGCGTTCCTCTTTTCTTGGCCTTCTGGAAGACCCTCGTCCCCACCGCAGGGTTGGCCTCGAGATTCTGGTCAGAACGCACCTGGGAGAGGTCCAGGGAGTACCAGTATCGGTACTTTTTGGTTCCCCCAGATGAGATGTGGGCTCCGGCCAGCCCGAGTCACTTCGATTCCGACATGCTCGGGCGAGCCAATGCGGTCCGATGCTGCGTAGCGCTGTGGTGCATCCTGACGCAGCCGATTCGGTTTGATTCCGACTCCGTGCCTCTGCGGTCCGCTTCGATACCCTCCGATCCGGTTCAATCCGATCTCCCGATTCGATGCTGACTGTTCCTGCCTGCCGCCTGCGGGATCCAAGCGCACTGAATAAGCTACTTTTTTCTGTCGGTCCTCTGAGCAAGCAGAAGAACTGGCAGACCAGCCTACGGTCCTCCCTCGGGCGAAGGGGCGGGGCGGGGCGGGGATTTGTCCATATCCCCCGCCCAGGGGATACAGTCGCACTGAGTAAGCTGCACCACTCGGTCCCCTGAGGAAGCAGTAGAGCTGGCAGCGCGGTAGCCAGCGTTGTGGATCGCATCGGGTCTCATGGGGCTCTTCGGCCCAAGGCAAGGCCCGTATTCCAGGCCGAGGCAGTTGCCCTTTGGACCGCATTGAGTTTGCGAGTGGCGCGCGCAGCAGTTTATCGGCCAACGCAGCCCAGAACATTAAAATCTTCCTGGCTGTGATGTGCTACAGTGTGGACGCGCATCAAGAAACCATCTGCTTTTCGTCCCGGTATCCTGGATTTCTTCGCTCCGCGCGCCGCGCGGTGGCTTGCCGCAGCCGGGGAAGGAGCGGCTGCGTTCAGGGTGCTCCGGATTTCCCCTCAGGTGCACCTCGCGCGCGGGTTTTCGGGGTTGGGTTTCTTGTGAGGGTTTCTTGCGGCCGTGCCCGCACTGGGAGAATTGCCGCCAACAGCGCCAGCAACTGGCAGCCCCAGGGGCGTGCAGTCAAGACGCTGGAATGAGGACCTCTTTGGGCTCAGGAGGGGCTCTCGCTTTCGGGCCACTGCTTAGGTCTAGGTTTAAGCCGGGCCTGTCCCCCTACAGGAGGAATGTCCAAAAATAGTATAAAAAAGTCAGGGGACGATGTTTTGACTATTTCTGAACGTTTGTACTTTTGAATGTTTTTTATTTGCCGCCCGAAATCTGCCTGTAGGGGGACAGGCCCGACCTAGGTCTAGGTCGGGTAGCCTAGTCGTGGCCGAGGCTCGCCGTGGCAAAGCCCCTTCGCTCCATACTTGGCGGCCCCGTGGCCGGCAGGCGTGGATCTAATTCGGCCCTCCCAGGGCCCGAGTATCCATATCCAGCCCCTGCCGAGGCCCCAGTCAAAGGAGGAGAAACCATGCGGACCAGACTATTTGCGTTTACTAGACGGCCTTGGGCGTTTGTTAGACAGCCCTGCCCTGTTTGATTCCTTCTTTGGGCGCGTTTACTAAACGGCTTCGCGTGTCGGGGTGGTCATTATTGGGGTGGATTTTCTGCCCTTTACCCAGAAGGTCGATACCCCAGGCGGTGGTCCTGGGAGAGCGGGAGGAGGGGAGGGGGGCTCCTCAAGCCGTGCCACGTCTGATGAGCCTGTTTTCCACCACCACCACCACCACCACCATAAGTTGGATGGGGGGAAGGAGGAGGAGGGCGAGGAGTAGGAGGAGGAGGGGGAGGAGGACGGAGAGGAAGAGGAGGCAGAGGAGGACCCCCTCTCCAACTTATGGTGGTGGTGGTGGAAAACACGCCCATCAACGTCTTTTCCATTTCTCTTGCAGTTCTTCATGGGTCCAGACTTCCACAGGGACAGCGATGGGGAGGAGGGATGGGCTCCCTCGGCATGGACTTTACGGTAGCACGATGTCCCCCGTGGCGGATCCAGGCCATTTGCGAGTAGCTCTTTTGCGAGTAGTGGAACGCGCTCGTCTAGAGAGGTCATATTCGGTCTAACGAATTCTTTGCAAAGGGGGTCCCGAACATGTGCACAGCAGGTCGTGCAATCGCTCGTGCTGGATAATTCGTGCTGGGTGCGGGCAGAATGCGTTGAATTTGGCCTCGATGGTCCGTGAGAGAGCCCACGCGTCACGAGCCACAGCATGAACTCTTGCCATTGTCTGCGACTCCGTCACGGAAAGCTCCCTCAGCCAAGAGCCAAAGGAGAGGGAGGGCCTCCTTCGCGGCCGTGCTCCAGGCACCGGCGCTGCCGGCGGCAGCGGTGCCGGGGGCAGCAGCGGGAGCTCGCCTGCCAGGAAGAAGGAGCCAGCGAAGGAGCGGCCCAGCCCTGCGAGAGGCCAGCGAGATTGATGGTTGTCAGGGCTCGAAGATGCGAGGCACTGCAGAAGAATGAACTTTTGGAGCTCCGGCGCTGAGTTTTTGGATCGGCGCCAGGCCCCCTCCCTGGCGCACGGGGCGCGCCAGGGGTGGCGCTGGAGGCGCTGCCAGTGCTGGTCCCCGCGAGAGCTCGGCAAGAGGTGACGCCAGCGATTGAAGAATAGCAACATGCGTGAGCTGACGACCAGCACGCAGACCTCGACGGCCCCCAGATTTGTCGGGGTGGGCTTTGGCAAGGGCTACGGGTGCTTGCTGTCGGAGGGGGGTCTCCGCGCGAACGGGGGGTTCTCCTGTGGTGTCCGACAGCCCGCGCGCGTGTACAGAATATAATCAAATCGGCCGGGCCCCCTTCGGGGGCGTCCTCCACCTCGATCACATCTGGGTTTCGCTCCCGGTACAGCGCTTCCCGGCCTCCCGGGGAGCCCCCCAAATGCCCAAAGACAGCCCAAGACGTCCCCAAAAAGCCCCCAGAACGTAAAAGAAAAACCCAAGACGCTTCCAAGCAACCCAGGATAGCTTTCGGGCGGCTCTCCAGGCTCCGAGGAGGCCTCCAAGAGACCTCAAGAGATCTCCGAGAGGCCTCCCGAGAGCGCCCAGAGAACCTAAAATCGTAAAATCGTTAATGTTCATTGTTTTTTGTTCAGGGTTTCTGGCTTTCTCTCACCAGTTCATGCTTCCAACGCTCCAAGACGGCCGAAGAGGCCCCCAAGACCGCCCAAAGACCGCGCAAGAGGCCCCCAAGACGGCCCCAAGACGGCCCCAAGACTGCCGAAGTGGCGCCCAGGACAGCTCCAGACCATTCCAGAACAGGCCCAAGATGAGCCCAAAAGCGGGAGCAGGAGGCCTCCAGAGACCGGAAGACTCCAGGACCCCCTAGAGGCCTCCAACACACCCCAGACCCCTGAGAGGCTCCCAAAAGAGGCCTGACGAGGCCCCAAACACAGCTCAAGAGAGCTTCGAGAGCCGTCCCGAGAGAGCCCGAGAACGGTAATGGTTGGTTTCCGACGTTGTTGTTCCCAACCCTCCTATGGTTGGGCATTCGTTTTGAAAAGAGAACTGTGGTATCCACTTCCCGCCCGTTCCTCCTCTTTCTCTCCTGTGTTCGCGGTGCCCTGCGGGGCTGCGATCTGCGCAATTGTCGCCACTTTCGTAGGCTCTTGGCTGTCCCCTGCGGGGCTGCGATCTGCGCAACCGTCGCCACTTTCGTGGGTTCCTGGGAGGCCCAGCGGAGGTACGTCATACGCAGATCACTTTGAGGTCCCCTGTCCCCTGCGGGGCTGCGATCTGCGCAACCGTCGCCACTTTCATGGGTTCCTGGGAGGCTCAGCGGAGGTACGTCATACGCAGATCACATTGATGCCTCTCTGTCCCCTGCGGGGCTGCGATCTGCGCAACTGTCGCCACTTTCGTGGGTTCCTGGGAGGCCCAGCGGAGGTACGTCATACGCAGATCACTTGGAGGCCTCCCTGTCCCTTGCAGGGCTGCGATCTGCGCAACTGTCGCCACTTTCGTGGGTTCCTGGGAGGCCCAGCGGAGGTACGTCATACGCAGATCACTTTGAAGCCTCCCTGTCCCTTGCAGGGCTGCGACCTGCGCAACTGTCGCCACTTTCATGGGTTCCTGGGAGCCCAGCGGAGGCACGTCATACGCTGATCACGTTGAGGCCTCCCTGTCCCCTTGGCGCACCTGGCGCGCACCTGACGCGCTGGGCGCACCTGGCGCGCACCTGGCGCACCTGACGCACCTGGCGCACCTGGCGCACCTGGCGCACCTGGCGCACCTGTCGCACCCGGCGCACCTGGCGCACCTGGCGCACCTGGCGCGCAGTTGGCGCGCACCTGGAGCGCACCTGGCGCGCACCTGGCGCGCACCTGGCGCGCACCTGGCGCGCCTGGCGCGCTGGGCGCACCTGACGCACCTGCCGCACCTGCCGCACCTGCCGCACCTGGCGCGCCTGGCGCGCCTGGTGCAACTGGCGCACCTGGCGCACCTGGCGCGCACCTGGCGCACACCTGGCACACATGGTGCATCTGGCGCACCTGGCGAACCTGGCGCGCTGGGCGCACCTGGCGCACCTGCCACACCTAGCGCAGACCTGGCGCACCTGGCGCGCTGGGAGCACCTGGCGCGCACCTGGCGCACCTGGCGCACCTGTCGCACCTGGCGCACATGGCGCACCTGGCGCACTTGGCGCGCCTGGCGCAACTGGCGCACCTGGCACATCTGGCGCGCACCTGGCGCACACCTGGCGCACACCTGGCGCAACTGGCGCACCTGGCGCGCGCCTGACGGGCACCTGGCGCGCACCTGACGCGCCGGGCGCACCTGGCGCACCTGGCGCGCTGGGAGCACCTGGCGCGCACCTGGTGCACCTGGCGCACCTGGCGCGCCTGGCGCGCACCTGGCGCACACCTGGCGCACCTGGCGCACCTTGCGCATCTGGCGCGCCTGGCGCACCTGGCGCACTTGGCGCACCTGGCGCACCCGGCGCACCTGGCGCGCCTGGCGCGCACCTGGCGCACACCTGGCGCACCTGGCGCACCTGGCGCGCACCTGGCGCGCTGAGCGCACCTGACGCACCTGACGCGCTGGGCGCACCTGGCGCGCGCACCTGGCGCACCTGGCGTGCACCTGCCGCGCCTGGCGCACCTGGCGCGCCTGGCGCGCCTGGTGCACCTGGCGCACCTGGCGCGCTGAGGGCGCCTGGCGCACCTGGCACACCGGGCGCACACCTGGCGCACACCTGGCGCACACTTGGCGCACCTGGAGCGCCTGGCGCACCTGGCGCGCCTGGCGCACCTGGCGCACCTGGCGCACCTGGCGCACCTGGCGCACCTGGCGCGCCTGGCGCGCTTGGTTCACTTCGCGCGCATGGGTTTCTGGGAGGCTCAGCCAGGTACATCCTACGCAGATCACCATGATACCATGGCGCCGAAATGTCCTTCGGTATTGAGTGGTCCTGAATGCAATTGTCACTTGTGTAGAAAGGTTGCGGAGGTACGTCTTGCGCAGACCACTTTGAGGCCTCCCTGTCCCCGTGGCGCACCTGGCGCGCACCTGGCGCGCTAGGCGCACCTGACGCACCTGACGCGCTGGGCGCACCTGGCGCGCACCTGGCGCACCAGGCGCGCACCTGGCGCGCTAGGCGCACCTGACGCACCTGACGCGCTGGGCGCACCTGGCGCGCACCTGACGCACCTGGCGCACCTGGCGCACCTGGCGCACCTGGCTCACCTGGCGCGCACCTGGCGCGCACCTGGCGCGCACCTGGCGCGCATCTGGCGCGCACCTGGCGCACCTGGCGCACCTGGCGCGCCTGGCGCGCACACCTGGCGCGCACCTGGCGCACGCCTGGCGCGCACCTGGCGCACACCTGGCGCACCTGGCGCGCCTGTCGCACCTGCCGCACCCGGCGCACCGAACGCACCTACCGCACCTGGCGCACATGGCGCACCTGGCTCACTTGGCGCGCCTGGCGCAACTGGCGCACCTGGCAAACCTGGGGCAACTGGCGCACCTGGCGCGCACCTGGCGCACACGTGGCGCGCACCTGGCGCAACTGGCGCACCTGGCGCGCGCCTGGCGCGCGCCTGGCGCGCACCTGGCGCGCACCTGACGCGCTGGGCGCACCTGGCGCCCCTGGCGCGCTGGGAGCACCGGGCGCGCACCTGGCGCACCTGGCGCGCTGGGCGGGCGCTCCTGACGCACCCGGCGCACCTGGCGCACCTGGCGCAACTGGCGCGCCTGGCGCAACTGGCCCACCTGGCGCACCTGGCGCACCTGGCACGCCTGGCGCGCACCTGGCGCACACCTGGCGCACACCTGGCGCACCTTGCGCATCTGGCGCGCCTGGCGCAGCTGGCGCACCTGGCGCACCTGGCGCACCTGGCGCACCTGGCGCGCTAGGCGCACCTGGCGCACACCTGGCGCACACCTGGCGCACCTGGCGCACTCGGCGCACCTGGCGCACCTGGCGCGCCTGGCGCGCCTGGCGCACCTGGTGCGCCTCCTGTCGCACCTGGCGCGCCTGGCGCACCTGGCGCACTTGGCGCACACTTGGCGCACCTGGCGCGCTGAGCGCGCTGGGCGCACCTGGCACACCGGGCGCACACCTGGCGCACACCTGGCGCACCTGGCGCACCTGGTGCACCTGGCGCGCATGGCGCGCTTGGCTCACCTGGCGCGCATGGGCTTCTGGGACGCTCAGCGGAGGTACGTCCTACGCAGATCACCACGATACCATGGCGCCGAAATGTCCTTCGGTATTGAGTGGTCCTGAATGAAATTGTCACTTGTGTAGAAAGGGTTGGGTACGTCGCAGGATAATTATGTTTTTCGCCTTCTCATGTTTTCCCACTTCAAACGCTCAAGGACCGAAGAACTTGAAACACAAATGAACTCCACACGGGACCGGACGCATGCGTCCGGAAACCGAATTTGGCACTTTCACCCACCAAGTGCAGTGTTTCGTGGCCCCACAGGGAACTCCACCGAAGCCCCCAGGTGGGACCGCCCGCATGCGTCCCGCAAACTAGATTTTGCATGTGCACCCACCCAGCACAGCGTTTCGCGTCCCCATGGGGAACTTTTTCGAAGCTCCCAGTGGGACCGCCTGCATGCGTCCCACATACAATTTTGCATTTTCACCCACCCAGAACAGCTTTTCGCGGCCCCAAATGGAGCTCCACCGAAGCCCCCAGTGGGACCGCCCGCATGCGCCCCCCACACGCCCACTTTGGCATTTTCACCCACCCAATACAGCGCTTCGTTGCCCCAGAGGGAACCCCACCGAAACCCCCAGTGGGACCGCCCGCGTGCGTCCCACACACCCAATTTGGCATTTACACCCACCCAGTACAGCGCTTCATGGCCCCATAAAGAGTGTTCCCCCCACCCAGTGCAGCGCTTCGTGGCCCCATACGGAGCTTTACCGAAGAAG